TCGACAGTTTTTAAATGTTAATCTTTCAGATTTATGCAAACCAGTTCGAATTAATAAACAATTTCACTAAGCATTAAAAATATATGCGTTTATTTTGTCAGCTTAAACGTGACATAATGGTTATATAGCTAATTGGCTGAGCTCTCGTTCTTCTCCTTGATCTCGTTGTTTTTTGACAGTGTTTCGACTTGCTTCTGCTGGCTGCACTAGCTTTATTCGCTAGAGTAAAGTTAGGGTTGCCCTTGCGCACGAACTTACAGCTCCTATTAAGTTTTATCAAAAATTTAACCAACAGAAGAGTCTTCTTTAACTCTTCAGTCTCTATCGCACAAGTTACTATCATTCCTATCGCTTTCGTATGAAAAAGACGTGACCTCTTGGTGGAACTGTTTTTCCCGAGAGCGGATAAGAATTCGAGAAAATAGCGATATCATGGGCGATGATCCGCAATATAAAATGCTGGCAGGGATATTCAATAAGGTAGGAGTGACAACTAGCTCGAACTCTCTTGTAGCTAGTTATAATGTCAAAAAACTGTAAATAAACAAATTTACCCTTTAAGGTGCGAGTGCCGTTTGCTACAAATTATCATCAATTGAAACGCATCAGCATAAATACATAAATATCTACGTACATATACTAGTTTTAAGATAGACTTATGTATACATATGGACTGAAACGAATAACTCATAAAGGAAACCACGTAAATAAAGTAAAATTAATGTTTTATGAAACTGTTTTAAACATTTTTTTGTTTTTATTCGCCTAATGTTGTTCCGCGTTTAGCTTCTTATTTAAATATTTATATAATTCTAAAAAAAACATCCTGTACTTAAGGTTGGTTTTCACTATGTCATATTTTGACAAACAAATTTGGCAACATATTTTGACACAACTTTATCTTCTTTTTTCATGCCTTTAACGATTATATATAGGGCCAATAAAGGACAGTTAGCCAATTTAGTAGCACATGTACACGACTGAATACCTATTCTGATCTAAATCAATGGGTAAACTTTTTTTAGTTCCAATTGACAATAGTTGCGTTCCAGATGCTTCACGATATTCACAATTTGCAAGGACAGCTGTTTTCTCCATTAATAAACCTTATGGAAGGTGGTCACCTGGAACGACTTCCTGTAAAAACCTGCAAATCGTGAAGCATCTGGAACGCAACTAATGTGTTTTCACTTATTTAACGGCACATGCCGTTGAATTTGACATAGTGAAAACCAGCCTTAACAAAAAAAAAAAAGGCGTGAGTACTAGGTACTCATGAAATATGATGTGTAAACATATGCGAACGGCAAAGCATAAAGGTACGTTTACATATAAATATAATCTCAATCAAAGCCGTTAGCTGTAAGATTGGTTGTGCTTTTTATTCACACAACTCGACGAAAAGTTAAACTTCCTCTCTGTGCCACCGTGGTCACTTGTTTCTGCTACACATATTATGCTATTTAAATATATTTTAACTGAATATTTTATTAAAAATACTGTTACAAACCTCTTTTCCTTACTAGCGTCAATTTTTGTTTACTTTTACATTTGACATTCCTCCTACTTTTCGCCAGTATAATCGATAAAGCTAGGTTGGACACCAAAAAGTTATCGGTTTAATCTGGGATAATTTTATAATTATAATTTTGTACGGCTAATCTCTTTTTCTAATTACAGATTAGGGAGTTAAGCTCGAGAATGTGGATAATCCATTTATGTGCAAAGCTATTCCTAGGCGTTTCAGTTACATACATACACATGTAGGTTAGGTTAAAAATTAAACGTTAATTTCACTTAATTTTATTCATTTTCTGATTTAATTTTTTTATTCATTTTCATTCTTAATTATTTTAATACATGAAATTATCGGTATGATTGATAAAATATGATACTTGTATATACTTGTGACTCAAGGGCGTTAAAATATCTTGAAAACACCGCATCCATTACTGTTTTTGAGCTTATAGTCTGAGTATTTCTATTTGTATATATTCCTAAATTTAGTTTTTCTTTTCGGAATATAATCTGTGGTTCACTTTTTACTCTCACTTCAGAGAGTGATTTTGCTGTTTGACCTTTTTAAGAGGATTTTACACGAAAAGTTGTGTTTTTGAGCTTATAGTCTGAGTATTTCTATTTGTATATATTCCTAAATTTAGTTTTTCTTTTCGGAATATAATCTTTGGTTCACTTTTTACTCTCACTTCAGAGAGTGATTTTACTGTTTGACCTTTTTTAGAGGATTTTACACGAAAAGTATTGGATCAGAGCTATTATGTCATCCATACATATGTATATTATACATACATATATTCATGTGTATTCATCATTTATCAACGGTCCCAGTTAAAATGATTTCAGTATTTTTTGTTAATTTTCGCCATGCTTTTTTATTAAAATAGACTACTAAACCTATGCCTAAAACCATCTACGAATATCAAAACCAGTTGCAACAAATGAGTTCATACATATGTATTTACATACAAACTTAAGTATGTATACATATAGGTACGAAGCCGTATGCATGTGCGGAGGTTGCATAATCGAAAGTAATAATCAATTGTTCCTCATTAAAATTTTTCTGCTGAATGCTATGCATATGCCTAAATGTATGCAGCCATTTACAATAGCAAGTGAACACAGGGTGCTTCTAATTAAATTAAAAATTTTCTTCTGAAATACACATGCTAAGCCCTTCGAAATTTTCTGCTGGGCTATACGCTACAGCTTCGCAAATTTTACCCCTACCGAAACCAAAGATGTATACACATCAAAAATTCCCACGACAGCCGGTTCTACGTACCGGAATGACTCGGGCTTTACCCGACCAAGGGCTGTTGTTTCGGCGATCTAACCGCGTGTAGGTCGGCGAAGTATCTCAGAAGGTGTTCGTCCATAGGGCTACATTTGCTACGCATTCTTCTGCTAAGGGCTGGCATCGAGTCAAACCCAGGGCCTGAAACCTACACATGCTGTGTATGCCAGACACGACCACACCACAACTCTACCTCAGGCAAGTGCAATGCTTTCGACGGGTGGAGTCACCTCAGAGTCTGCTCAGGACCACGGACCCATCGGCAGTGGACCACATCGTTTGTGGCCCGTGCTGCTCACACAGAGCAGCCTCAACGGCTAACCCCAGTCCACCTGAGCAACTCAACACAAACACCACAGCACCACAACACAACAACACAATACACCACGCCACAACCACGACAGACCACATAAAAGACACAATCGCCCCACCACCCACACGCGGCCGCCAACAACTACTGGTTCCTCGTACAATCTGCACGGTATGTCAGACCAGGATAGTCTGTAACGTGACATCAGTTAAGTGCAACACCTGCCTTGGCTGGCGCCACTTTAGGTCATCTTCAGGTCTGCGCACCACGCGAGATTGGACGAGGATCTTCGAGGGCCCGTGTGGCACTGCTCGGTCGAAAACCCCAACTGCGACGCCACCCACTACCACCACAGGGCGGCAATCTTCACAGCAGCGCACACAGCCAATGGCGGCAAGGGTACACACATTCCTCACACCTCGCATAACTACACGTCTCCCGAACCACATGAAGCTCCTTCAATTTAACTTTAACGGACTTCAGAGCAAGATCGAGGAGATAACCGTCTTCATGAGAAGGCATGGTATATTGATAGCTGCGGTCCAAGAGACGAAGTTGCACAGCAATTCAACATTGTTGAATTGTGCCGGGAACAACGTGCAGCGTCGAGATCGCAAGCGAGATAATGGTGGTGGCTTAGCGTTCATCACGCACCGTCTTCAGATGCTCTTCCCACTTTTTCCGCTTATGTACGTTCACAAGCTGCCGAATCTCCGCGTTGAGATCCCTAATACGGGGATTTCCGGGATCGGCCTGACGAAGGTTGTCACGCTCATCGGCTAGAACAGCCGCTTCAGCAGGGAAATTTGGACAGGGGTCCGTAATGCATACGTACGAAGCGAGCTGCAGCAGCAGTGACAACCCTGCGGAACTTATGTTCTCCAAGGTGGACGTCGGTTGGTGTGGGGAGCGCAGCGAAGATGCTCTCAGTAAATTCCGCGAAGCCTTCCCATCAACTTTAGAAAAGTTTATATAGGTCCGGTGTTCCGCGGAAGCAAAGTCGGTTGGTCTATCGATCGAGATGACTATGGGCAGATGCCAAAGTCATTATAGGTCGCTGTTTAAGCCGCCGCTTAAAGCGCGCTACGACGGCCGTGCGCGCAATCCTTGGCCGCAGCAGTTTGGCAGTTGACCGACGTCAACGTCGAGAATATGATTACCGAGCGCGCACGGCAGCCTCCCCATCGTCGTGCGAAATCAGCAGAAGCCAGTTCAGCAATTAACATCGGTCAACGCGCACGCGCCCCCTTAAAATTAAAAATTTTCTATTGTGAAAGCCAAATGCAGAAATGTACATATGTATATAATTCATACAACCACAAAATGTATGTGGACATCTACCACTAAACCTTAACTTTTTATTGTGTGAAAGTCGAGTACCTATATTGCGCTAGATCTTTTAACTTTTAAAGCTCATGAATAAACTGAGTTGAATTTTATAAATTTTAAAACCGAAAACAAGTGTTTCCTTTAAGCGGAAAACCAGTGTGCATACAAAAAAAGGAGAGTGCGAAAGGCGACCACTGGAATTATTCATGGTCCTTCGCAGCCAACCGTGGCCCAGCTCCTAAAGAAAAAAAATTTTAAAACTAAAAAAAAAAAAATAATAAAAAAAAATAAAATCCGTACTCGTACGTCCGCCAAACTGATATAAAAACTATTGACAAAGTGGAGAAAACAATAAAAACTAAAAAAAAAAACCATAAACTAAAGTGCAAACAAGTATCGTATTAAAAGGGCACTTATACATTTATACATACATAAGTATACAGATACGCAAAAAAGAAAAGAAAGTAAAAAAATCTAATACAAACAAAATAACACAAAACCCGTAAAAACTAAAAACTAAAAAAAAAAGTGTTGGAAAAAGTCCACATATTGTATGCTAAGTACATATCGCAAACTAAAAAGAAAAGAATACATAAACATATCTATGTATATATGTACATACATTAAAAAAAAAAAAAAAAATAAATACAATTTTAATAAAAATCATCATAAAAACAACAAAACCAAGGCAAGCTTTCAGCCAAGCAGCCAGAATAAGGAGCCATCAACAACATCAGCAGCCATCAACAGCATCTGCAACAAGTACATATTTGTCGTGCTGTGCGGACGTGTTTTCTCTGCGCTCCTCGTTTTTGCTTTTTGCTTTTCACACCCTGCAATGGTGCGTGCTAATTGAAATCTGAGACAGTGACTCTGCATATTACATATAATTCTAATTATGCCGTGCTTGTGTGGTCTAAAGGTTGATCGTGGGAAATCTAAAGTGCAATGCGTGAATTGTGGTGAACTATTCCATTTGGAATGTGTCAACATTATGCCAGCTGATCTTGAATTTCTGCAAAACAGTAATAGTCATTTCACTTGCGATACTTGTGCTGTTGTGCGCCGAAAGTCACTGCGCGTTAAAAAAAGCTGATAAATTGCAAGCTGAGTTACATAGACTTGGCAACATTAATGCATCACTTCTACTTGAAGTTAAAAATCTTCATAGCAGTGTAATTGATACTAAAATCAAGCCGCCTGCTGATTCAAGTAAAACGCCAGTGCATTACAATAACGATCCAGCTTCAAAGCAAACGCCAGTGCATAACAATAATGATCCAGCTTCAAAGCAAAATAAACAAAATAAAAAAACGGTATTAACTTTTCATGCAAAGGTGAATCCAACTAACACTTGCGCTAATGTCGCGGAATCTAACAATAACATCGAAGGCCGTCAATGCGTTCAACGACCTAGTAACAAGTCTCTCAATTGCTGCTCTTCTTCTAAATTTGGTGCTGCCGTAAGTAATGGTACTTCTTCCCCGCATGTCGCTTGCCCTGCTCCGGAGAGTACTTCAAGCCTCTCTTTTGGTTCTGCTGCTTCTGCCGACATCAATGCCTACTCGCTATTGCCAGTTAATGAGAGCGCCTCTCCTGCCCAATCTGCTGTTACTCTCACTCCGAATGATACGGTTGCTGCTAATGTTTCTACTAATGTCGCTGCCTTCGGCGACGCTGCTGATGCTGACGCCACTACTCAGTCGACACCTGCTCTTAGTGATGCCCATAATTGGACTGTAGTTCAAAATAAGAGATCTAGATCTAAGAGCATAGTTGTTGGTCGTAATGCCTCTAATGAATTAGATGTAGTTGTAAAAAAGAAGTGGCTCCATATTTCTTCTTTCAAACCTACTGTTACAACTGATAATATTATCTCTTACGTCGCCAAACATTTTGGCATAGCTAGTAACCATATCTCTTGTTTTATATTAGTTAAGAAAGATGCCTCGCTTAATGAGTTAAACAGTGTTAACTTCAAAATTGGTGTTTCTCCGGTTTTTTTATAGTAAACTCTTAGATGCTAATTTATGGCCCTTAGGCATTAATGTTCGGCCGTTTCGTTTTTTTCAGAAAGAGTAGTTTACATCATGAAAATCTCTTGTATGCTAATAGTACTACTATCAAGAATGATAAACAAAATTTAAATATTTATTACCAAAACATCTCGGGAATGCGAACTAAAACCATAGATGTTATCTTGGCTACTGCTCGTTGCGAATTCGATGTATATGTTCTAGTCGAAACGTGGTTGAATAAAAATTTCTCTGACGGGGAATTTTTTGATCCCAATTTATTCTTTACTT